TCCGGAAATGGACCCGCCACATCGATTGCAATTCTCTCAAATGGGCTGCCCACATTGTACTGTCGCATTGGGGCTTTTGGGCGCTTCTGGGGTCCATTACTTGCCGCGCAAACGGCGCACTTCTTGCACCATTCCTTCACATCTCGTTGGCTGTTGACCCAATAAAACCGTTCCCTAAGTCTTCCGAGCGTCCTGGTCACCCCAAGATGTCCTCCAGTAGTTCCATCATGGATTTCCTGCAGCACTTCTGGTATCCTATTTCTGGGGATTATTATCTGCTTCCGGTCTTCCCCCCCTTCTGGCAACTCCAGAATGCGCTTTAGAAGCCCGTCACTTAAGATGATGGAGTTCCATTGGGCCCAGTACGATTTCACATTCGGCGAATATTGGGCGACTTCCTGCCACGTTGGTTTACGGTCGTTCTTCTTCCAATCGATGATAAGCTTCAAATCCGGATCCCTTTCCTGGTCTTGTTGAACCTCAGCGGATTGCCAATGATCATCCACGATTGTAGTCCTCCGAACAAACACATCCTTTTCTTCTGCCCTGAGACAATGTTTACAGTCTTCCGGGCACGGTCTTCTTGACAAGGCGTCAGCATTTCTATGGATGGTCCCAGCCCGATGTTCTGTGTCAAAGTCGAACTCCTGTAGTCTCTCAATCCATCTTGCTACCTGTCCTTCAGGATTCTTGAATTGCAAAAGCCATTTAAGGGCAGCATGATCCGTTCTTAGCAAGAATTTTCTTCCATACAGGTACTTGTAAAAGTGTTCGACTGATTTTACCACTGCTAACAGCTCGCGTCGAGTAACACAGTAATTTCGTTCTGGTTTGGATAAAGTTTTACTAAAGTATTCAATAACTTTCTCTTTTCCCTCTTGAATCTGCGACAAAACAGCTCCCAGTCCAACATTGCTGGCGTCCGTGTCCAAAATAAATTCACCATCCGGAAGAGGATAACTCAGGACTGGTGAGCTGGTCAACGCGTTTTTCAGGTTCTTAAAGGCTTCTTGGCATTCTTCGTCCCATTCAAATCGTCTTTCTCCCTCTGTTAAACGTGTCAAAGGCTTAGCAACCTTTGCGAATCCAGGTACGTACCGCCGGTAGTAGGTGCATAATCCAAGAAAGCTTCTTAAGTCATGTTTGTTTTTCGGTACTGGCCATTCCCGCACCGTCTTCACCTTCTGTTTATCCACTGCAACTCCTTGACTTGAAACGACATGGCCCAGATACTGCACTTCCTTCTGGAACAAGTGACATTTCTTTGGGCTAAGCTTCAGGCCAGAACTTCTTAAGCGATGAAAGACTTCCTTCAGGTTCCTCATATGGTCCTCAAATGATTTCCCAACCACAATGATGTCATCAAGGTACACCAAGCATGTCTTCCAGGATAGTCCCTTTAAAACCATTTCCATGAGCCTTTCAAAAGTTGCAGGGGCATTACATAGTCCAAACGGCATGACAGTAAACTGCCACAGTCCAGCACCCACGGTAAACGCCGTCTTTTCTCTATCTTCTGGTGCCATTTCAACCTGCCAGTAACCGCTTTTCAAATCCAGAGTCGAAAATATTTGGGATCCAGCCAATGTATCCAGGGTGTCATCTATCCTAGGCAGAGGGTAGCTGTCCTTCTTCGTCACGTTGTTCAGTTGACGAAAATCGACGCAAAATCGAGTTGATCCATCCTTTTTCTTAACTAACACCACTGGGGAAGACCATGGGCTGTTGGATGGTTCGATCACCCCTTCCTTCTCCATTTCATGCACAATTTTATCAGCTTCCTCTCGCTTGGCAAGTGGCAGCCTTCTTGCCGACTGTCGAATAGGCTGTGCATCACCGGTGTTAATTTTATGCTGGACAATTCTTGTCCTACCCTTATTTCCTTGTCCATCATCAAAGACGTCCTGATAGTTGTGTATCAGCTCTCTCAGCTTTATTCTCTCATTTGGTTTTAAGTCCTTTGAAGAAGTCGAAAGCAGAGTCGTCAATTCAATGCTAATTTTCTTGGCCGGAACTCCAGACTCACGAATGCTTCTAATAATTGAGGAAACAGAGGAACAGTTCCCCAAAACGATTCCTTTTTTCAAGTTCACAGAGTAGCCATTAACATTCAATACTCTTACAGGCACTTCTTTTCCGACGCGTATTAAAGTCTTCCCTACTACAATTCCTCGACCGACCTCTTTGTCATCAATTCTCGGCTCCAGAAGCATTATACTTCCATCTTCTGATTTACAATCCAAGAAAGCCTTTAATATCATCTCGCTGTGTTCCGGTATCAAAGCATCTTCTGTTAGCATTACACGAATATTTTTTTCTTTTGATCGATGCAACACGACTTTTTCTCCATTTACTCTCAATATTCCTTGTTGAAAGTTTAGTTCAAATCCTATAGAGTTCATAATGTCCATGCCTACAATAACTTCATCTTCAATATCTGCTACTAATGCTCGATGTTTAAATTTCGTGTTTCCTATGACCATCGTGATGTCCACTTCTCCATGAACAGTAGCAGTATCTCCTGTTGCAGTACGTAGTCGCCGATTGGTAGATTTTATCTTCGACTTTTCGACAATATCTGGCCGAATAATTGTCTTCGTTGCACCTGTATCAAGCAGCAGCACATGTAACTTTCCATTAATAAAGCCATCCACAAAAACGCTGCTGGACTGATGTATAAGAGATGCGACACGTTCGATATCCTCTGGGGCATGCTGGTTACAGGTCGACGGTTGCCCCTTTTCCTCGACCCTATCTAGTTTTCCGACTGAGAAGAAGTCGGCTCCACCTGGCTTCTTTTACAACGACTTCGTATATGTCCTAGCTTTCCACATCTCCAACACCGGATTTCCTTCTTATCTGGTAGATTCTCTTTAAGGACTCGTCTGATTGCTTCAATTATACTAGGTTCCTCCTCCTTTTCTTCTTCGACTTTCCTTATTCCATGCTGGCTCCTGCAGCTCTGCTTTGCCGCCTCGAATTCCAAAGCTCGAGCCAATGCATCAACCAGTTGGCTCGGACGAGCCAACGTCAGAGCCTGTCTTGTTTCGTTGTCCCGAAGTCCATCCAAAAAGGCTTGAACCGCTAATCGTTCCATAACGGTCGTTGGAGTAGCTGGATATGCTAGCCGAACCAAGCGTGCAATATCAGCCTCGAATTCTTGTAGAGTCTCGTTCGATTTCTGGCAGCGATTCTTCAGTTGGGAATGGTACACATGTTCCAGATGTGTCTGGCCATATCGAAGTTCTAGATGTTTCACCAACGCTTCGTAATCTTCTTGTTCGTTGGGAGAAATCGTCTGCAAGATGTCCGTTGCATCTCCGCGTAAAGCCAGAGTCAATGCTGTAGCTTTCTCTTCTGGTAGCCAGCCATTTGCTTTTGCTGCTGCCTCAAACTGACGGATGTAGTTGGTCCAAGAAGTTTTTCCATCGAACTGAGGTGGTTTCATCCGTACTCGGCTTCCCTCCGGCACTGTTCCTGGTTCCGTCAGCATCATTGGTAAATTTACAGCTTTCAGTTTACTATTTATTTCTCTAATTTTGACCTCCAATTTCTCGTTCAATTTTTCTTCTCTCGTATCCAATTCCATCCTTACGTTATTTAATTCCATCCTTACATCGTCAACTTTCTGTCCCACTTTCTCTTCTAATTCATTGACATTTTCTAGAATTTTCCCTTCCAAATATTCTTTTAGGTTTTTAGAATTTTCTAGCATTTTCTGTTGAAACTCGTTAGAATTGTCCAAAATTTTCTGTTGTAAATCGTTAGAATTTTCTAGCATTTTCTGTTGCAAATCGTCCTTTAATTCGTTGACATTTTCCAGAATCTTCTGTTGTAAATCGATTTTCAAATCGCTAGAATTTTCCACCATTTTCTGTTGCAAATCATCCTTTAAATCGCTAGAATTTTCTACCATTTTCTGTTGCAAATCATCCTTTAAATCTTTCAGTTCTTTAGAATTTTCTAGCATTTTCTGTTTTAAATCGTTAGAATTCTCCAACATTTTTTCGTTTAAATTTTGCAACATTAACTGCATATCACACGGGCCTTCAAATAAATACGTATCTGGATTTTCACCTTCCTGCTCCAACGCTTCTCGAAGCCGCTGCTGCAACACATTCTTTTTTCCAGTTGTTTCACATTCTCTTTCTTCCAGCTCCCGCTTAAGGTCTGCCACTTTTAAGTCCATTAACGAAACCATTTTCGCGAATTTTCACACTAACCCCACATCTGACACCAATTGTAACGTTTTTAACTGTTCGTAGTGTGAATTAAAACACGCACTGGTTAATTAACGAACTAAACTATTTATTTAATAACTTAACTACACTTAAAACACTAACTAAACTTAACTACTAATTATTTATATATCACTACTGTACTAGAGTCTATTTATTTGCACGTATATTTATTTATTTCGCCGCGAGTACCAAATCTTAACTGACTGCTCTGTGAAGCTCCGTTTCTTATATATTCAGCGCCAAGGTCTTCTGGAACATTCCAGCGAGCTCCACACTCTCGATTGTTCGAGCGCTGAGTCACCGGCGATGACTCACCGGCGATGACTCATCGGCGATGAGTCATCACTCTGATATCCAGAGCGGTACTCGCTACAATATAAACAAAAAACATGAATACAAATTTACAATCCGAATATGCTGATATTGAACCTCAACCATCCAATAGGTCTTACTCAAGGCCAAGACGACAAATGATTAATCCTTAAGAGGCTGAAAGTAGCAAAATTCCACCTGAAGAAAAAAATAACTATTGCCATAGAAATCCGTGGGGAAGTTTAAGCTATGCAGATTTGATTACAAGGACAATCGAAAGTAGTCCTTCTAATAAAAGGCTAACATTAGCACATATCTACGAATAGATGGTAAATAATATTTCATATTTTAAATAAAAAAGTGACAGTGTCAATTCCATTGGTTGAAAAAATTCCATTAGATATAATTTGTCATTGCATACAAGATTTATCCAAGTGCAGAACAAGGATGTTGAATTCCGAAGCACCTGGTAAGAATGTTCGAAGAAAATCCAATTCTCTAAGCATAAATACTGAAGTTAAAAAGGGAAACTTTGAAGAAGTTTTAAACTACGAGTTAAATACTGGAGACGGTTTAGATTTTAATTTTTCTGATGAACATGTTATGTTGCTGCGCCACCTTGCGAATCTCCTGCAGAAAGCCAGAATAAAATTAAGTCAAGTACTTCCCTGGATGTTTGAGATATTCCCGATAACCGTAATGGCAACGTTGAAGAAGTTTTAAACTGCGAGTTAAATACTGGAGACGGTTTAGATTTTAATTTTTCTGATGAACATGTTATGTTACTGCGCCAACATGCGAATCTCCTGCAGAAAGCCAGAATAAAATTAAGTCAAGTACTTCCCTGGATGTTTGAGATATTCCCGATAACCTTAATGGCAACGTTGAAGAAGTTTTAAACTACGAGTTAAATACTGGAGATGGTTTAGATTTTAATTTTTTTGATGAACATGTTATGTTGCTGCGCCACCTTGCGAATCTCCTGCAGAAAGCCAGAATAAAATTAAGTCAAGTACTTCCCTGGATGTTTGAGATATTCCTGATAACCTTAATGGCAACGCTGAAAAAGTTTTAAACTACGAGTTAAATACTGGAGACGGTTTAGATTTTAATTTTTTGATGAACATGTTATGTTGCTGCGCCACCTTGCGAATCTCCTGCAGAAAGCCAGAATAAAATTAAGTCAAGTACTTCCCTGGATGTTTGAGATATTCCCGATAACCTTAATGGCAACGTTGAAAAAGTTTTAAACTACGAGTTAAATACTGGAGACGGTTTAGATTTTAATTTTTTGATGAACATGTTATGTTGCTGCGCCACCTTGCGAATCTCCTGCAGAAAGCCAGAATAAAATTAAGTCAAGTACTTCCCTGGATGTTTGAGATATTCCCGATAACCTTAATGGCAACGTTGAAGAAGTTTTAAACTGCGAGTTAAATACTGGAGACGGTTTAGATTTTAATTTTTCTGATGAACATGTTATGTTGCTGCGCCAACATGCGAATCTCCTGCAGAAAGCCAGAATAAAATTAAGTCAAGTACTTCCCTGGATGTTTGAGATATTCCCGATAACCTTAATGGCAACGTTGAAGAAGTTTTAAACTACGAGTTAAATACTGGAGACGGTTTAGATTTTAATTTTTCTGATGAATATGTTATGTTGCTGCGCCAACATGCGAATCTCCTGCAGAAAGCCAGAATAAAATTAAGTCAAGTACTTTCCTGGATGTTTGAGATATTCCCGATAACCTTAATGGCAACGTTGAAGAAGTTTTAAACTACGAGTTAAATACTGGAGACGGTTTAGATTTTAATTTTTCTGATGAACATGTTATGTATCTTATTCTGTGCATTTGTGTACATAGGTTTAAGTGTAAATATTTAATAAAAATATTTTTGCTGAATTTATTATTATTTTATATATATATATTAGGGTGTGCCAAAAAAACTCGATATTTTTTTTCTAGCTCTCCACCCAAAATATCGTAGAATATGTCCGAACAAATATTCTGTTAAAAGCGGAGCTCATAATTTCAATTTTAAGAGGTCCTCCATCGAATCTGAAATATGCCGCTTAAAAAACACAAAAAACTGACTTTTTTGCCTTATTTATTCTTGCAACCTAGGAAGAATTTTTTTTTTATAAAATCCATGACTAATTCTTACAAAGCATTAAATTGGGACAAAAAAATATTATTAGGCCGAATTTCATTATTTGATTTTTTACACAAGAAGTCCGAACTTCATGTATACAAATATTTTCCTAAAATAAGAGGTCGCTGGGTTTTCGTTTATTGTTATAGTTGTACTGAAACAGCACAAAAACAGCAGACGTCAGTATTACCTACTATTAAAATAATTATAATTATGTTAAAATTTAACTTCTTTAACATTAGAGATAATAACAAAAAGTTAAGAAAAGATAGGCCTATAGTATGACTAATTGTCATCCGCTGTTATTGCGGGGAGAAACTTCTTTTTACGTTTGCACCCTGTATATTAGGGTGGTTCTTATTTCACCGATGTCGAAATTTTAATCGTGCCGCCCCCTCAATTGTTTTAAAAAATATAAAAAAGTGTATGCCAAATTTGGATGTCCTAACTTATTTCCTTCTATTGCCTGTAACAACGAGAAGAGGATTTTTGCCTTTAATGTATTAATTTTTTAAAATTACTATTAATCTATGAAAAAGTATAATTTTTTGAGAAAATGTAGAGGACATAAGTTACTTTAAAAAAAAAGAAATCATGTATTTTCATCCTAAGATCTGTTTTACTTCACTCGATTATTACTTTATTATTATTAGTTTTTCATATAGGGGATTTTTGCTTTAAAACGCAATAATTTTATAAAATCATTAATAATAAATGAACAATTTTAATTTTTTGAGAAAATGAAGGGAAAATATGGTAGGTACTCAATTATTACTATTATTGTTATTTTATTGAAAATGGCATAAAAAAACAAAATATCAGTGATAATTTGCATTTAATGCATAATTAGTGTGTTTTGAAACGTAATTTTGTACTTTTCTAATGTTGGTGCTACCTAAATATCTTTTAGGCAATGTTAAATTATTTGTTTTATAAAACAAACAATTTAAGATTACCTAAAAAATATTTAGGGAGCACCAACATTAGAAAAGTACAAAATTACAATTATGTAAATAATGAAATTGATTTTTAGAGTGTTTTCGAACAATTTATTTTTAAAGAAAATAACAGTTAAAATGAAAAAAAAATTACAAAATAAAACCCAGATAATTAGGTTTTTGGTATTTTAAAAATTGTTTACAACAGTCTTTTTTTGCGTTGGGAAATGCTTTTCGAAACTCTGACACAAGCTGTACAATAATACCTATATTATTATTTTTGCCTATATTATACATCTATATACATATATGCCAGGTTCTTAATGTTGTTAAAATAATTTAAATTTTAAATTATTTTAATGATGGGCCCCCTATCACCCTGGCTCCCCCCGCACTGCTCCCTTGTGCTCCCACTAGTTCCGCCACTGTCTGCAATCTTAAATTATTTGTTTTATAAAACAAATAATTTAAGATTGCCTAAAAGATATTTAGGTAGCACCAACATTAGAAAAGTACAAAATTACGTTTCAAAACACACTAATTATGCATTAAATGCAAATTATCTCGGATATTTTGTTTTTTATGCCATTTTCAATAAAATAACAATAATAGTAATAATTGACACGTGATTTCAGGCAGTCAATCTCAAAACATTTCCCACTGACAATCCGCATCAACAAGTTCAACTGACTTCAGCGTCTGCAACTTATGTTTCTGCACTCAGAGAAAAATTTTTATAAAATCGATAAAAACGATAATAATTTAAAGGGATTCAAATATATTTTTGCGTCATTAATGTGTCCCAATAAATTATAATTTATGCATTATAAAATTGTTATACACCTAATAATTATTAGTTGTATAACAATTTTATAATGCATATCTTTTTGACACAACGCTGCAGCGTTGAGAAAGGCATTAAAATAAATAGATTTCTTTACGTACACATATTTTAAAGAGGGTGCACTTTAGAATTGTTCAAAAACATTGTAAAACTGTTAGTTAATGTATATAAATCTATAACATTTTCTATTTGAATTAAATATATACAGTGTGGAACTAACTTATGGAATGAAATTCGTTAATTGTTGAGAAAAGATTTTTATGAAAAACGCTCGGACACGTAAACTTTAGTTTTTTATTCCAAATCTTATAATGATAATTTTAAATTTGATGCCCCCACCATTTCCCCCCCCCGCACATTAGGCACCCTTATCTTAAATAACAACCCCACTTTTTTTCATCGAAAATTGATAGTGCACATTTTTTTTAGTACGACGATACCACATAAGTAGGGTTTAGTAACCATAATTTTCAATACAGGGTGAATATTTAAAAATTACAAGTATGAATTTTTTATTGTTATTCTATGATTTAGTTTCTTGTGTTGTGGCTTTCGCTATTTAGATATTCGCTTTGTTATTGTTTTTTGTTAATGCCATTTTTTGGGTTTGTCCTTTTTGCATTGTTTACATTTTTAGCATTGTTTAAATTTTTATTATTAATGAAACATTTTACGCTTTACTTATTGAAGTATCAGTTAATATTTTAGTTAAAAAATGCGATACTTGACAGAAACTCTGCGAATATAAATATTAATGATGATTGGTTACGGTGATATGTGCAGATCACAACAGCAAGTTGCAAACCTTTTTAATGGAAAATACCCAGATTTACCACCACTTTCTCAGGCAACTGTGTCTAAAATACACGCACAATTTCGTGAATATGGACACGTTAAACCATTACGCAGGACGCCTCATTTTATTGATGAAAATGTGAAAGTTAATATTTTATTAGCTTTTCAAGAAGATCCAACAACTTCTACGCGTCAGGTTGCACGTGAAAATAGGGTTGCCACCTGTCCTTTTTTTAAAAGGACAGTCCTTTTTTGAAAAGGACAGTCCTTTTTTGAATAAAATGTCCTTGTGTCTTTTTTCAATGCTAAATGTCCTTTTACAAGGTTTTGCATATCTATAGATATTTTTGCAAGGTATGTGTATTGCTGATTACAAGTTTTTTTAAATTTTTTTACCGCTAAAATCATTGACAAGATCGTGCCTTGTCTATGGCTAAAAGTTATTTAAGGGAAATGCAATTTTTATTATTGGTAGAATGGCAGCCGTGCCCTGTAAATCATACAAATATGTTTTCTTACTACCTCGACTCAAAATACGTTGTTTCGTCTCCGATTCCACGGCAGAAAGTTAACGTTTTATGCATTGGTCAAGCTATACGCACACACTCTAATAGCGGGAGTAAAAATTTTTTAGTCGTGTGCTTAACATTCAAATTTCGTACTGCCAACATGAGAAACACAAAAATATGACAGTTTTAAACCATAATTTTGCAATTATAACAACAAATAAACAATTTATGTTTTTACTTTTTTACTTTTTATGTTGTTTTAAGTGTTTAATGGTACTTTTATTTGTTATAAAGTAGTAATTTGTTAATTAAAATACAACCTTTTATTTTTACTGTATTGGCACCGCTGAATTCACGGCCTACTGTTATTTATTTATCAAGCTCTTCAAATGGAGATAGGTACATAAATACACAT